AAAATGCCTCCCTCAGTGTCATCTAGTTCCTTCACACAATTATGCACAGCTTTCTCTTATCTGTAAGAGTATATAATTTCAGTGTGAAATTTCTGACACCCTGTCTAGTGTTTCAGACAGCTGACAGGATGCCAAGCTTGTAAATTCTTCTGGCATCCATTGAGAGACCAGCATTGTAGCTATTTCATAAGCAGTGATTTGAATGCTAATGATGCTACCTAATGCCAAGACAAGAAGGTAGTGATAATTACAAAGAGCGTGTTTTCCATCCTCGGCAAAGACTGTATTTTTTCCACAAGTACTAACTTTAAGTAGGAACATAGGGATGGTATAAATTAGGGGAGAAAAAAAAGCATTGAGTAGAGAAGGAAGGAAGGACGCATTTAGACGCCTTAGCACTTTGGTTCTGCCTTCTTTTTCCTTTCCTTAGGCTGAAGAACATTTCACTCCCTGTGGAAGAGGTTCCTCTAGACTAGGGGCAGGTCATTACAGCTACTGAAGTTTATTTTCTCTTTAAACTCTCCAGTCTGACCCATTCCTTATCCCCAGTGCAAGCTTTTCTTTTTCATAAGTGTAGGTACAAGTGTAGGAAAGTACAGAACCTGACCCTGTTGTTCTTACCCTGGCTGTGAGAAGCCTTTTCTTCCAATGACCTCAGTAAATAGAGTCCTTTTTTTTTCTTCTCCTGTTTTGTAGCTGTCATAAGTTTTCAGGCTTGTTTGGTATTGGTGTTTGTTGGGTTGGATTTCTTATTTCTGCCTTTTTCTGTTCCTTTCAAGTATTCCCTGTGGGTCTGTTATCAGCAATTAGCTATATACAGCAAGGCTTTGACCAGCACTTAACTCTACTGTTCCTTTGAGAGCACAGAAGTGTTTTATATTCTACATTAATTATAAAAGGAAGTATTTGTTAGTCTTCCTTAACAGGTGAAATGGAAGCGCTGCTCATAAAATTTTCATGGAAGTGATAGCTTAGGCCAGCATGACTTAATACACAAGTAGTTCCTGTCTGGATTCATAGTGAGACCCAGTGTCAGCCAGACATTACTACCAGGAATTAAAAGATGGATGAGTTTAGGTCTTTGATAGATGCTCTAAGTAAGGTGCTGCAGATCAGTTAGAAATGTGGCAGCACAAATGGTCAAAATCCTGCTTCTGAGACAGAACTTGCTGAAGCTCAGGGTGCAGTTAACCATGGTCCAGAAGTGGTCCTGAATGTCTGCTCTCCTTTTAAAATAAGGAATAAAATTCTATAGTATTACAAGTACCAGTTACTAAATTGAGAAAGTGTTCTGGTCTTGCCTTCCCACTACTTTGTACGTTTACTTGCTTGTGTGCAAAAGAAAGTGTAAAACTTTCACTATTGGGAAATGACCATACAAAAGGGGACAATCAGGGGAGAACCACTTAACCCATTCCAACACACAGTGCAAGAATGTTTTCCCTGTTTCATAGTTCATCTAGGACTGATTTGGGGGAGTTAAAGCTGCAAGGATGGGTCTCCTAATAAGGCAGATTTTTTTCTGTCCTTCTGCTAGGAAGATTGTTTTTAAGACCAGTAGAAAGAATGTTGTTACTGTTCTCTCAGATCAAGCCATTCATAAAATTCCATTTCTTCCTCTCCTTAACAGTATGGATAGCAAAGTCTGTGTGCAAAAGGAGATTAAAGAGCTAATAACACAGCCAATTCAGAAACAACCATCTTGACTGATTGGGTTGTCCCTTCTTGTGTCTAGTGTTGAGAACTTGCATTGTCCCAGTTCACTGACCATGGAGCATTCAGTGAGTTTTCACCAATGCCGTCTCCTCCCATTGTTGGCATTTCTGTTGTTCACTCCAACACCTCTTTCTTCTGTAATCCCCACTTACTTTCCTACACTGTCCCAGGAGTTTGCCTACAGAAGAGCTGTTCAGAGGGCAATGTTCCTATTAAACCATCATCTCAGAGGATGTTTTAATTTATACTCATTTCACATTGGACTAAAAAGAGACGGTTGGAGACCCTTCACGCCAAGAATGTGAAAACACAGAGTTTGTACTGAACTCACCAGTAGCTGTCAGTAAAAACACTTGAGGATCAGTGAAAAATTCATAGAGGAAAAATATAACCCTTTAAAATCCTTTTGATCTAACAGAACATACCTCACAAAACTGAAGTTTAAATAATTGGTCCAGATAGTACCTGTGTTGGAGCGATAGTGCTGGAGGACTTTTTTATCATTTATGAAGGTTTTTTTTTCTGGCTTTACCCTCCCAGCAAAGAAGGTTCCATAGGCTTGAAGAAACGAATGGAATTTGATCATGTCAAAATAATTTGTGTTTCTGGCACCAGAGAGAAAAGGATGTCATATTTAAAGTGAAAAGCCCTGATTTTTCCTCTAAGCTCCACATGTTCCTCGTTCATTCTGGTAGCTTCAGAATTAGTATGGCTGTGTACTTTTCCCAGTATTCTGTAACTCACACCGAAGAAATCAAGTCTGTGACAATGAAGACTTCTATGTACATAAAAACAGACAAGTGGTTCATATTAGGGATATACTTGTAACGCTCTAACACTGCAGTTGAGGCATCACTAAAAATTCAGGGAGTTATGATTGACCGCATATAGCACATTTGAACAAAAATTACCTTTCCCAAGCAATATGATTAAAATACCTTTCCTTGCCCTGCGGAGAAGGACTTGGGGGTGTTGGTTGATGAGAAAATGAACATGAGCCGGCAGTGTGTGCTCACAGCCCAGAAAGCCAACCGTACCCTGGGCTGCATCAAAAAGAACATGACCTGCAGGGCGAGGGAGGTGATCCTGCCCCTCTACTCTGCTCTCGTGAGACCTCACCTGGAGTATTGTGTGCAGTTCTGGTGTCCTCAACATAAAAAGGACATGGAACTGTTGGAACAAGTCCAGAGAAGGCCACGAGGATGATCAGGGGACTGGAGCACCTCCCGTATGAAGACAGGCTGAGGAAGTTGGGGCTGTTCAGCCTGGAGAAGAGAAGGCTGCGTGGAGACCTCAGAGCAGCCTTCCAGTATCTGAAGGGGGCTACAGGGATGCTGGAGAGGGACTCTTCATTAGGGACTGTAGTGACAGGACAAGGGGTAATGGGTTAAAACTTAAACAGGGGAAGTTTAGATTGGATATAAGAAGGAAATTATTTCCTGTTAGGGTGGTGAGGCACTGGAATGGGTTGCCCAGGGAGGTTGTGAATGCTCCATCCCTGGCAGTGTTCAAAGCCAGGTTGGACAAGGCCTTGGGTGACATGGTTTGGTGTGAGGTGTCCCTGCCCATGGCAAGGGGTTGGAACTGGATGATCTTAAGGTCCTTTCCAGCCCTAACTAACTATTCTATGATTCTGTGTTTTCTGATTGGTTAAGAGTGGAAGTGCTTGATATTGAAAATAACTTCAGCCAAATTCTCAGTTTTATACTCAAGCTAATACCAGTGGGACTTTTAAGAAAACTCTGTTAAAAGAGATTAATATTAAAAAGTCCTCTCTCAGAATCAGCTCTAAATTACCTAGAAAAGGGGGAATAGGGCTAGTTTCCCTTTTTACTCTGTTCTCAGTTTGGGGAATAAGGGGAAAAAAAAAAGTATTAATTTAAAAAAAGGAAGAAAATAAGAAAATACAGGAACTTTAAATGCAAAATTTGCCCTGGCAGCATAAAATGACACTGTTTTTAATACTGCTTCGGATTTTTTCCTTCTTTTTCTGAATTGCTGTAGTTTACCACATGGGAGCTCTTCATAGAGCCACGCTGAGGAGGGAGCACTAGGTGGGATCGGCAGAAGCAGTGGGATGAGCAAGAAAGGGCGACAGGTGTCTGCAGGCTGTGATGTTCCCCTTTGATGTAGGCTGTGTAATGGAGTTGTTTACTCCTGCTCCATCATTCCTGTGCATGTGTTTAGAGTTTCCTTTGTAATCCAGTCCCTTCAGGAAAGGGAATGCGACTGTGAGTGCACATTATTAGTTTCTACTATGAAGAGGCAAGCAATGAGATTCTGTACTTACAGTCTGTAATAAGCAGTGCCCTGTGATTTCAAACCATAGCAGTACAGCCTCACCTGCCCAGCAGAGCTGAATAATTTGACCAAACACAGCCCGAAGAGCTTGCTCTTGTTTTTCCCTGTGTTCTGGTCCTGTGGAGACATAAATTAGTGAATGGTTCTAGTGTCCAACACATTCCCAAAATCCCAAGGTATCAGTGAGTGAGTGTTCTTTTTGCAGGCTCCATTCGTGGAGGCCTGGCTGCAAAATAGAATTAGGAAGGAGATACAGCTCACATCTTTGCTTTTACTTTGTTCTGTCACGGTTCTGCTTTTAATGAAGGTCTTGATTGCTGGCTATTTTATGTACCTTGTGATCACCAGATCCAGTTGTTCTGGTTGCTTCTTTAGTTCATATTTATGTGAAAACCCAGCTGGTCTTAGTAATAGGAGAATACCTGTCAAAACTGTGGACATCTGTAAAGGCTAAAGGTCACAGCAGCCTTGCAACATGTTAGTTTTAGGTTGAACAAACTCAATTTCCAGCACTTCATGGGTTTCATCCAGTGTTTGGTTTAGTACTGTGAGTGCTCCCACCCTGTCTTTTTTAGAGCAGATCTTAATGGTATCTTCCTTTGTAGTGCAGTGTATTTGAACTAAGACTTGCCCACTCAGTAAAAAGGTTCAGTTTGAAATTGCTTCCAACACCTCTCTAGCTGAGAAGGCTCCCTGCTTGGGTTTGGGTTTGGGTTTGGGTTTCCCCTTGGCTTTACTGAATAGCCTTTTGCTCATTTCTCTGCCCACACCCACATTCTGGACCACTTTTATCAGGGTTGGCCTGCATTTCAATTTTGTGAATTTGCAAAAGGCTTTTATGTGGGATCCATTGTAAAAACTCTCCCTCTGAAAATGGCACACCTACTCTAATGAAGCAAAATTATCATTCACTCTATTAAATCAACCACATCTGTCATCTTTAACACTTAATCCTAATTACAGGCTGTTTTTCCAGCCCCATCTCCCCTTTCCATTCAGTGAGAGCTGCTGTATTGCAGCTTGCTGTGGCAACGACCATGCTGAGCGTGCCGGGTGACGGTGTGTCTCCTTCCACATTTTTGTGGTCATATGAAATTTCAGATGTCATTAAAACAGTGGCCAAAGCATGGATTTTTCCTGCAGTCAGTCTTTCATTAGCCTCTTAGGTGCTACAAAGTTTCTTTAACCCCATTTATCCCAAGACTAATAACAGAAAGTTGAAAAAGGCAAAACACGAGTTCAGACTCTGTAGACTTACTCTGTAGTTATTGGAAGTATGGCCTCATAAACAGGAGCACATGAAAAAGAAAGCAAAGCATGCATATCTCTTTTATGTGTGTTGGCTTCAGGATGATGGTCTTTAAAGCAAACCCTATGGCCTGCTGTGGGAAGACAGAGTGCAAAGAGCAGCATTGCCCAGCTTGGATTCTGGAAGAGAAGCAGATGAGTGGTGTTCATAAGCCACAGATGAGCTTAGCATTTCCTGGTACAGTTCATTCTGTCCCTATGCTAGCTGTAGGTTTTAGGAAAATGCCTTTGGTGTGTCCTGACAGCAGACTGATGGCTCTGCATGAGCAGAGGATTTCAGGGCACTGGCACCATGTCTCTTGGGCCAATGTGTAGCTGTTTTCTAGGATAGATTATAAAGCTCTTTGTGCTTCACGTTTTGATTCACCCAAGTAAGACCGTGTCTGCCCAGAGAAGCCTAGGGAAGATTCAGAAAAAGGTCTTAAAGTAAGGAAACCTTTCCAGTATTGTCCCCAGACCAGATGGGAATTAGCTGTTTAAAAGCAACCTTTTTGACCCAGGTGATGAAGGAAGACTGAATAGCACTATTTGTGGCTTCAGCTAACAATTAGACAGTACAGTATGTAGGCCAAAACTCCTGCAGTATTGTCCCCACACCCCCCTTATGTTACATTGACAACACAGAGGGGGTTTGCAGGGTAACTACATAGAGTAACTGCAGCTCCGTGGCGCCTATTTACTGTGGGCAAGTTATGATTTGAAGCTGTTGAGGTACACATAGCAGTGCAAGAGGGCTTGCTAAGTAAAGTTAATGTCACAGTGATAATGGAAGAATGTGAACAGGAAAGAGGTGTTCCCAGCTGTGACAGAGAATTGAAAGCACACACATGCTCATCCTATACTTCATCTGCATATTATAGTCATCACAGTTAGTTATTATACTACTGTGACTTAGATTCCCTTGAGACATGAGAGTTGCTAATAAAACTATTCATTTTATCTAGCCAGTCATTTTAGGATTTACTCTTTACAACCTGTGAAAAACACTATAGTCTATGCTTTTATCAGAGCATCAGTATTACTGTTGCCCCTTTGTCAACCTGCTCTGACGTGTTCTTTCCTTATTTAGTTCCTGAATTTCAGCACCAATGGAAGAAAGAATCTCATTAGTTGTCTTCTTGACAAAGTTGCTTAATATTGCCAAGGAATATGACCATAGTATGGCCCATATGTAACTGCTATACGAAACGCCTGCAGTTGGTGCCTGTGGGTGACAGTATGCTCTTGTTAAGCTTACCTTGGAGGATCAAGGAATGTGCCCTCATACATTCTCTTTTGCCTAATTGCTGTGGCAGGAGTTAATCTTTTGTGGTTCTTGAGACTTCTGATCGGTAGCTACTTCTCATCATTTGAGAAGCTACTGCTGGCAAGGAGAATTTCAAGGGAACTTCCACCTGAAAAAGAAATTAATGGGTTCTTTTCTTCCTCCTCTATCCATCTGTAGTAATACATTCAGTAAAAACCTGGTATAGATGCTTCTGCAGCAAAGACTATTTGGCTGAGATTTTAGATACAGTTTTTCAGTCAAAAAAAACCAAACCCCACAATACAAAAGCACATCTGTAATAGAACAGGAATTCATGAATTATTGAGGTATTATCTGCCAACACTGCCGCAGGTGCTTTAAAAAGAAGATTCATGAATGTCTTAAGCTCCATTTTCACTGCAGCACTCCTGGTTCACCAGCAGTTGCAGCAGGGCACAACTCATACAATCTGAGGGTGAACTGTTGTTGAAATAGTTGTCTTCTGCCCCCAGACACGTATTCCTGTTTCCTTTTTGTCAGAGATGAGAGAGTTTCAGAGTGGATCACATCTGCTTATTGATCCAATGGACATCTGAGCGTGTCTGATGACTAGATGCAATGGAAAGCAGCTCTGGATGGAGGCATCGGGTCCAGTCCTAGCAGCAGCTCTCAGACAAGATAAAGGATGTAGCTGCACACCACGCTTCATGTTTTTCATTATCCTATGGTGTACCTCAGTGGCTGCTGAACATCACAAGATGTGGTCTTCCATCTGCCAGGAATCCCTTGCAGCATGGCCGTTGTGATGTGGCAGCTCGGGAGGGATCACACTGCCATGAACAGCAGCTTTCCTCTTTCTTCACACTTCACTAGTGCCATAGTCCTCCAAATAACCTTTCAAAACAAGATAAAAGATACTGTTCAGTTAAAGGGAAAGCAGAACTATGACCATTGCTGATTTTAAGCTTTCTCGTGTGGGGACACAGGAAAACAGCGCCAAACCAATTGGCAAGTGGTAGAACTTGTTAATCACTTATGTTAACCACTTACATGGCTCTGCTCCTGTGGCAAGGGGTGCCTTTTTGTGTTAGAATGGCAGAGAGCAATTCCTTGCAATTTGGCAAATTGATGCTTTTCTACATAGTGTAATTTGGCTTTAGAATTTTCCCTGAGGGAAGGCAGGTTTATCCTCGCCCTGCAAGGATAACATTATGGACCCTGTGCCAAAATGTCTCTGTAGGAAACATTCATGGTCCTGCACATTAAGGTCCTTCTTTGGAGCAAAACTCCCTGATGCGGAATCAGGTATTTATTTATCTTTCACATTTTTTAGCCTGGTTTCCTTCGGAGAGGTGCAGAAATGCTGTTTTCAGAAGCCAGAGCACCAACAAATGTCAGAGCCCCAAGTGCTGCTGGCAGAAGCTGCTGGCCAGGCCTCCTGCACTGAGCCCTGAGAAATGCTCTCTTGTTTGTGCCACAGGCGACCAGCCAAGAGCTAGCTGCTCAACACACAGCTGGTTCGACTCTCCTCCATAGTAGGCACACAGGAGGCTACTCTAGCCCCAAACCTCTTTTCAGGCCACGTGGTGAGCTGAAGCCATTCATTCTTTTGTGCAGCTGCTTTGTGATACAAAAGGAACCTTATATGGATTTTACTCCATGCTAACAGAAGGCCAGTTGAGTTTCCTTAGCCGGGTTTGGTGTATAGTGAATGCACTGCTGGCCTGTAATGGCGACCTACTTATCACCTAATCCATCAAGTAAGGAAAACACAGCTGGGTTTTAACTACTGACCTAAGAAGTAATTCATATTCTTGGTTATTTAACTGTCCCCAGTTTAAGTACATTTAACAACATTTTCTCTATCTCAAAATCAATGCCAAAGTCCAGTGGCAAAGAAGAGAATGGCTGCAACCACTCACTTAGGTCCCCACGCTTGCTTAATCACCACAGGGACTAGTTGCTATGTCTGACTATAAAGAAAGTGCTCATGATAGGTTTAATTGATGAGATTGCCTTTGAAAAGTCTCTGTGGTGTTTTCTGGAGGTTAAAGCCAAGACTACAATCCAAATTCTACCTCAAACCTGTACCGATTCCTTCATCCAGCTCTGCTCCAAGGAGTTTCTCCTTTCTAGGTAGATGAGCACTGTTTCTTCTCCTCCTCTGTCTGCTGGAGCCTCTCCCGAGGGCTCCCCTGCCTGCTATGTCTCAGCTCTTCCAGCTCACAGTCTTGCACCTCAGCTCCAGCACTGGTGCAGCTGACACACTGGGCTTTCTCCTAGAGTAGCAAAGATGCTGGCACGTACTCCTTTGGGTAACTGCTGTGTGGCTCTGACCAACAGCAGATGCAGTTCCTCGCTTGCTTTGGGCTGTGCAGCAGCAAAAGGGATGGCAGTTTTTCTTTCGAAGAGCTTGCAGTTGTATGCAGTGGTGGTTACAAAACCCTGGAAGCTTCTGAAGCCTTTCATGGATAACATGGATAGTTACAAAGGCAAAAATCTCTATAACAGTATGTATGATCACGTGCTTTTGAAAGAAAGGGCTTTGGTTGGTTTCATGCGAAAGCAGCTTACTGAATTTGTGTTAGCAGAGAAACAGAATGACCTCCTACATTAACAGCAATGCTTACTGAGAGTCCTCCTTTATAGTAATTTTATTTTTTGCAAGAAGTTCAGAGAGAAAGAGAACAGAGAAAGGTTTTTTTTTTTATTTTCTTCTCCTTTGGATAAAGATCTCAGGATTATAGTTTTCTTTAAATCGTGTCTGGGGATGTTGGATGTATTTCTGAACTACTGTGTGAAGTTTCACTGCTATTACAACATGAATCTTTAATTCCCTATTTACAGCCAGTGCTGATTTCCCATACAACGGTCAAGCTATAGGAGATGGAGTTAACAGGAACTCTGCCATTATTGGAGGTAGGAAACCTATATACTTTTCTGAGATACTTTGCAGTATGACTGTGAGAGCTGAACTGCAGTTGGTAACATGTTCAAGCTAAGAGTGGGAAAACTACACCTCAACAACATTAAATAGAAACTTTTAAGCCCATTCAGGCACACTGTCCTAGTGAAATGGCTTGTTCTCATTTAGTTTGTCCCCCCCAGATTCAGCTTTAACCAAATCAAAGTATTGATATTCATAATCCACTTACCTATGTGGGGAGCAACTCTGCAGTAGTTACTTCTGTTAACTGAGTAGTTAATTCATGTGAGATGGCAAGAACACTTTTCCAGTTACAGCAGATTCAACATGAATCTGTGTCAAACACTATTTGCCCCACCCTTGACAAAAATCCTGCCTTGTCTTCTATGGGCCAAGTCCTGCTATAACTTACATGCTGGAGATTCCCATTTAGTGTGATAGGTGATGTTAAGTAATACCAGAACTGGAACCTTGAATTAGCATTCCACTGAAGATACTCTGGCCAGCTGCCTCCTGAAATGTGGATCCTGCTTAATTCCATGCACACATGCAATTTTCTCTGCCCTGTCCCATAGGATGGAAGTGTTGCTCCGCAGCTCTCCTGGGAGAACTTTGATCAGCCCAATAGTTTTCAGTCAGTTCTAAATGCATATAAAATGCCATACTGATGATGGGTTTTGTCACGTAAAGCAACACTGAGTATAGTAGTAAATGCAGTCTAATGGAATTTCTTGCTTTTTTTCCATGGCCCCTTCAAGGGTCTGTTTCCATATCCAGGTTCAGATCAGTTGCTGTAGTTTTGATTTGCTGCCCAGGCATTGCATTCCTCAGAAGAATTCAGGCCCCACCTGAACAGCCTGGCTGTCCCTCTCATCATTTAACAAAGTGACATAACAGAATTCTGGCTGATAACAGGATGGTTTTTAACATGAAAATTGTATAATGTCTTCATCCTGGAACACCTTCATGCCTGTAGAGAAGGAGCAAAACAAATCAGTGCTGTTTTACCACATAGTTACCTATGCATAAGAGGGTAAGATACATGAGGCTTCTCCGTAACAGGGCTGAATCTCTAATAGATCATAGCAGAAGGAGCAATTAAGGATAAGTCTGATGATAAAGCAGTTACATCTGTAATTATGTGGAGCCAGTGCCTAGTGGGTGGAGTGAGCCAACAGTGAGTCAAGCCAATTTCCAAGGACATGTTGAGGAGCTACAATAGATCTATATGGCCATTGACTGAAAAGGGTACATCGGTGACTCCATCCTCAGAGCTGCCCAGGCCTTGACATGTCACAATTTCACCCCTGTGTTCTGGGAGCGCTTGGCACCCTCTTCCTCATGGTCAGCAAAGCTCACCACTGTAAGAAGGTATTAATGTTGAAGTTGGAATTAATGTTTTGAAGGAAAAGTCACTAGCACACTCCTTCCAGTGGTATTTTGCATATAGCAAGAACTATGTATCAGTATTAGAGTAGTGGAAACCAAGCAGCTGTGGTGCTGTATAACTGCCCGGGTAGCTTCAGCTCAGCTTGGAGGAGCTGTGGGATCCTTTCTTCGTGTCAAATCCTGTTGGTGCTCTCACGAGTGACATCTTTTCTTTCCTCCTCTATGTAGGTGTCATCGCAGTGGTGATCTTCACCATCCTCTGCACCTTGGTGTTCCTGATCCGCTACATGTTCCGCCACAAGGGAACCTACCACACCAACGAGGCCAAAGGGGCAGAGTCAGCCGAGAGCGCCGATGCTGCCATCATGAACAATGACCCCAACTTCACAGAGACCATCGACGAGAGCAAGAAGGAATGGCTTATCTAAGCACAGGGGGATGGGGCCTGGGGTGGGATACGAGCTGGGCCAGGGTGGGACTGGGATGACTCTTACAGTGGGGAGAGAACACTGTGCGTCAGACACTTGAGCACACGTACGGTAAAAAGATCAGCACAACTGGAGGAGCAAGTGACAGGAAAGCACCACTGAGACTGGAGGAAAAAAAAAGAATATCTCAAGCATTTAAGAAAAAAACACTTTTCCGTATTTATTTACAGCGAATTGCAACTTCCATATCCAAACAACGAGCAGTTTTGCAGCATCAGCATTGGTTACAGTTTTGAGTAGTACCTGTCCATTTCTGTGTGTGTTTAGAAGTGTTCTGGATACCCGCAGTGAGCAACGGGGCTGGTTTCTTACATGTTTTAAAAGCTGTTTCAGTAGTGGGTAGTCCTGTCCTGAGAACAAGTGCCAGACCTTTCTTCCCACTGTTGTGTTCCTTCATGAGCACTTCCACCTCCCCAAAAGCTGCCCCCAGCCCTGCACCTTGACTATATCACCATCCATTTGGGTGGTGTCGAAGGGAGGGCTCAGGGCTGGGGGTAAAGCAGGGGAGTGAAGATTAATGCAGATCTAGCTCACCAGTTTCTCAGCGTATCATCAGCCCTGACAGGATCCATCTTCTTGACCCAGGCACTTTGTTGATCGCATACAATTCTCATCAGCAATGTTAAAGTACTGTTACTACAACTGCTACTACTACCACCAGAGAGAATGATCACAAAGCACAGGAAGCTGGGGGGGGGGGGGGAATGTTGTATTATTATTGTTGTTATTATTTTGTTGGTCTCTAAGGGAGGTTGATGCTGTGTGAGTCTGTTCCTGTATCTTTGGCTATGGCACTGTTGACCTGCGACACATGCCAGTTAAAACTCAGCTCTGCCTGTGACATATTGGCATATACAGTACTTAAGCATAAGCATTGTAGTAGGGAATTAGAGCAAGACTTTGTTTGTTTCTGTTTCTTTTTTAATAGGCTGTTAAAGAAATATTAGTACAGCTCTAGTTAATGCATTTGAACCCATGGGCTTCACATAACACTTTTTTCCAACTCTACAGAGCAGTTTATTCTTTAAATCCTTTGTTTCAGTCCCTTTGCAAGGAAAGCCTCTGCTGGCAGTGTTCACACAGGCAGGAAGGTGAGGCAAAGGAGGCTTGGAAACCAGAGAGCATGTGAGGAACACACAGGACACAGTGGAGAGTTTCTTTTCAACGCAGAGATTTACCTGAACTCTTTTGCTGTAAGGCCTTTTTAAGAGTAGCAAGGCCAATGCCAAGTGCAGCATCACACCCCGTGTTCCCTGTCAGACTGGTGAGGTTGTAGCTGTGACTTGAGAAGCAGTGTACGAAAGGCAAAGAGGCAGCCTGAAGACCTAAATCGTTTGATGGCAATAACATAGCTTTAGCTTGTCCTCTTGTAGCGGAGCATGGTTCTCCAGTGGTCTGATTTGACAGGAATTTAAGGCCTTAATGGGCAGGTTTTTGCAGTGGAACAGAATGAAGGAATGAATGTAAGGCAGGGCATTTGCTGTGTGCTGAAAGAACAGAAACAACACCAGGACTTTCCCTTTAAAGGTATTTATGCTCATGACAGTCTTAGAGTTGCTTTAATATTGCTGGGTTTTGTATGCACAGATTTAATCCATTTTTCTGTACAAGAAGGATTTCTTTCTCACCCAGATCTGCAACCTACTTGGCTGAGCAGTGCTGGCTTCTTAAATTTCCTTATCTTTTTGGTTGCATCTTTCATTATTCTAGTTGGTGCATTAAAATGAACATGAAAAAAAATCATGGAGGGAGAAGAAAATACTGGAGCCTTACAGACAGTAAATATATAAGCACAATATGTCAGACAGACAAGGCCAGATATTAAGGTATACATAAGTATTAAGGAGAGTAGCCTGAAGTCCTTTTCCAGGTTCACTGAACACACATATCAGAGCAAATCAAGCCCATTCATTTCTTCTCTTTATGGATTTGGAATTAGCATGCAAAAAAGTTGCCAGTTTCAAAAAGAATTGCTGTTTCTCAGGTAACCTTATGTGGCAGAGGGGGTCAGGTAGGCACAAAAATCACCTCTGTCACTCTTGTGCTCTGCAGCCTTTTGCCTTGCCTCCAGTATTAACGTCTAGGGAGAGGTTTAATCGAGCAGATGAGTCCTCATTCTTGTTTAATCGTGGGTGTAAGGTTAGTCTCCACCCTTGGAGAGTTATCAGCATGGGGATGGATCTAGCCTGCACCACTAACTACTCATCAAAATACAGAACAATCACAGATGGCTTTGTAGGACTGAAAAGGCATTCTCTTTTCTGTAGTATTTTAGGGTTAATTTTATTTTAATGGTATTTCAGTCCACTCTGAAAAACATCCTTGCTTTCAACTTCCAGGTTACAAAGGGAAGTGAATATAGCATCGTTTGCATAGATTGGGATTTGGTTCACAGCACAGAGTTACTTACTAATTTTGACTTAATGTCTGGGAGGAGGATCAGATTTATGTGTCCTGAGAGACCAGAGTTCTCTGCCGCTTCATGTAGCAGAGACAGGCTTAGTAGCCACGATGTAAAGTTGCCAAATGCCTCAGCATAGCACTAGCTCAGTCTCTGTGCCTAACCAGGCCCTTGGTGAAGGCAGGGACACTTGTCTGGGTTATGGTAGTGAGGACTCGCACATCTGTTTACTGGTTTTCTAAAGGATTACCAGCTGATCTCCCACAACCCTTGGAATCAAGAATTCTTGGACAATAACGTTTGACCTTGCACAAGCAATAGCTGTAAATTAGCATCTTAAATTTGAAAGCCAGGTGATAAATTTCTGAAATCAAGCATGCAAGCATCTGTATCTCTCCATTGACTGGACACCATGGGCCTCTTCATGGGAAGTTCACCAGTGCTATGTTAAAATGTTGATAATCTTCAAGTTGCCATTATTTTCATGATACACTTTAATAACTCTACAAATTGTTTTCATTAGTAAAATTATTGTTTCTTCTTAAACTGGACCTTAGACATGATATTGTAGACTAGCAGCTGGTCTCTGTATAGGCATTTGGTGATTGTAGGTGAATTCCTGCCTGTATTTCATTTTTGAGAATGACGTATGTTTAATTATAGCAGTGGTCATTCAGCAGCCTAGCTGGATGAAGCAGGAGCAGGCTCAAAGAAGTAGCTTGTGTATTTTGTTAGCACTATGTCTGTGCTGAAGATTTCTTCCTCTGCAAGTCTGTTACTGAAGGTTGAAACAACGTCTGTAGTTTACTTCACCCACTCTTACTTGTGCCAGAAATGCATGTTGTTTAGCAGGTACTATCCATATGCTTGTAGTGGGGAGATATGTTGGAGGGGAGAGTAGATCCTGCTTGTATAAAACTCAGTACTTTCCCCAAAGAACATTAGAATAATCAGCCTTTTATCACCTCTTTTTTAGCTGCTTCACCGATTTGAATGGTGCAGGGAAATGCAGCTGCTGTACTGGTTAGGGAACCAAAGTGTCCCAGTTGTGTTTCTAAAAGGCTCATTCCTGATTCCACAAGAATTAATGGTACCAGTGGTGGGGAGAGCAAGGCTGGGCTGGAGGCTTGGACACTCAATGTTAGTGAAATAATGTCAGCAACATTTTGGATCCTCATTCACAACACATACAGACCACGGAGCAGCAAAGAGCCAAAATGATGGAAAGCTGATTTTGATGTCAGCCCAGCCTCAAGAGCAAAGCTGCAGTCCAGTGTGGCAGTTTTGAATCAGGTCTTTCATACTGTGCTTTTTCCAGATTCACTGATAGAAAATTCAGATGCATTACATAGGAATATGTATCTTTAATTGGTACTGGAGTATTTCTACTTTGTCTTTTTCCTTTCTTAAGCATTATCTGTACCTTTTATATCTCCTCTAGCAGTTACCACTTCAAAGGTATGGCAGCATTTTAATATCATGCTCTAGGTAGCGTGATGTATGTGAAAGGATGGTCAGCATAAATATTTCAGTCAGACTGTCAAAGCAGTGGTGTATATGTACAAGTTCGTTGTAGTGATAAGAATTCAGTTTAAGAGTCTAGTAAATAATTACATTTTAATTAAAACAGTGTCCTTTTATGGCAGATGCATCTAATTTCCAGGGTAGCTGCTGCAGTGTGGAGCTATCTCAGCTTGACAAGCAATAGCTTTTAATATGAACAATTTTCCATTTCATCAAGCATGGTGATGCTGAAAAGGGTGTCATTTTTGAAAAGCAGAACCTAAATTGTGTTAATCAGATTTCATTATCCATCCTAGAGAAATGAAACAGAAACCTTGCCTTCTAGAAGCAACAGCATGTAAACTAGAATGAAAGGACAACACGTATGTATGCCTGATACCTTCTATGAATGTCTTTCCTTTCAACTAAGGTTCTATTAGAAACCAGATTGGTAAATTTTAAACAAGAAAAAAGGAAATTTGAAGCAGTTTTAATTCCTCTGACAGCTGTTTCCTTGCGTTTTATATATTCTGATCATTGCCTGTATGTTTTCCTCCTACTACCAGGCAATCAATTTGGAAAAGAAAGAAGCTGGAAGGTCCTCTTAAGACATGACCCCCACAGTACATGAAAAAAGGGACTTCAGAATGCATTTGTGCACAGGAAGATAGGGTGCTAAAACCAGGGAAGATTCGCTGAAATGAAAGTATGTTCCTCCTGCATTAGGCAGCCCCTGATTACCTGTTACGGAGGAGGATCTCGGGCAGTGTAAATCCGTTCTTGTTGAGGTGGGCAGGCATTTGGTAGAAATGGAGTGACTGCCTTGCTGATGTTTTCCCCTTTCTGGTCACTTTGCAGATAGCAGCAAGCGGTCTGCCATCCTTGCTGTTACAGGCTCAGTGGCACTGCCAGCTTCACAAGAGGTGCACACTACAAATGGCTGAGTGTGGGTGGTTTGCCTTCTTTTCCTACCATAGCTCTGTCCTTTCCTTTATGAATGTGAGCCTTTTATTGAAGTTGTCAAGAAAAATGTATGTCAGCTCAACAGACTTGTGTCTGTTCTTTTTAATAAACTACCTTATCAGGCTTTAAAAAAGTTTTTATGATGTGAAGCATTTTATAAAAGAACTATGTTAAGTGCACTTGAATGGGAGAATGTGAAATCTAGGTGAAGAAGCATCAGTGCAACAACCAGCTGAGACTGTGACTGTGCTTGTACCAGTCTGTTGCTCTGAATGCAGTGTGAGTTGCCTTAACCACCGACTCAAAGCACTGTCCAAGACCTTAA